AATAAAGATTGGTTAAAAGAAACAGTGATCGTGTTCATAGATGAGTTATTCTTACGTATATTTACAGAGTTAGATGTGATTAAAAATAGGATGGAATTTAGTTAAGTTAGCTGAGGAACCTTACTCTCTTGTTGCGCCGGAGATTTATTATATTATACAGCGACGGCCCCTTTTACTCAAACCTATAACATTGTTACGGACACAGAGAACTTGCCATTTGTGTTCTTTCTTTTAGAATGATTTCTTGAATTAGTCCTGGGTAGTGGGTTTTGTCATGCTCTTGTGTTTTGTTTTCTTTGGTTCGGTAATTACTTCACGGCATGTTGCGCTCCGCACGAGACATTTCAGATCGCAATGGCTCCGCCACGTGGAGATAAATTTATGCAGAGCCTGCGGTTACCCGATACCGGTGTAATGAAGTTTCCGGCGTAACTGTGCGCCGGATCTTTTGTATATTCCGTCGGATATTCTAGTTTTCCGACGGATTTCGTCGCGTTTCTGGTAAATATGGGATTTTGCTTGTAGTGTGTGAACTAGCATTAACTAACCAACCTGAATGATATAGCCGACTGATTGAGGCGATAGATCACATATGGGGGAGATACACTAGGCAGAATGAGTGTTGTGCTGCAAATGCAGAGGATAAATCTGTTGAGTTGTTTTGCATGTTGACATGATGTGGTACAGGGTAAAAGGAGAGCAAAGGCCATAATAGATGATGTGAGGGTGTGGGGTGAATAAGTTGTGAAATGGGACAAAGATGATCTTTGCTCATTCATGAAATCCTTAGATTAGATTCATAATTTCATTTGAAATTATTTATGTTTAGTCGAACGCACTATAAGGAAAAACGCCTGATTTCCGAAGGAATTATTTCGCGGAAAAAATCCATCGGAAATTCCGACGGATTTTTTCGCTGGATATTGTTTGACAATTTTTCCGGCGGAATTTTCCGGATGATTTCTAGTGCATTTTCTGGTATATTTCCGACGAAATTAAATTTATTCTGAAAAAAAATAAATTATTATTATATGCTTAAAATTATTCATTTTGTTATTAAAATTAATTTTTTTTAATTCTAATATAAATACAAGTTATTTATAATAATATAAATATTTGATAATATTGTTAATTAAATAATATGAATAATAATATAATTTAATATGTTAATGATATTTCAATATTAATTTATATTAGTTAATTTTAATTACTAAGAAATTCTAAAAATTTATTTATTATGTTATTTTAAAATTAAGAATAAATTATTATTATTATGTTATTAATTAAAATTATATATAAATAATTAATATTTAAATAATTATTAAGAAATTTAATATAAAATATAAAACGTAGTTAACTCATGTATTATTCATCACACTCATTTGGTTTGTAAGCGAAGTCGATTGGAACTTGGTGGCGTCAAACCTGCGTGCAACATATCAACAAGGGGCAAGGCCTGGTTTTTGGGCCGCGGGGGCGCAGCGGGGACCGATTCTCGGTCCAGCGGGTTCGTGGACGGGCCTTGCTTAAGCAAGCCTGCGTGGTCCACACGGCTTTCCCTGATTTTGCGAGCTCAAGCGGGCCCCTGATTCATGGGGCTCCCGGCCCGCAAGCGGGCTTATTCTCGGCTTAAATTATGTTTTTTTTTTCTTTTTTTCTTTCAAAGGAATTGCTGGTGGAATTATTTCGACGGTATTGTATTTCCGACGCGTGAATTACCGTAAAAATTTTCCGTAACAATCCGCCGGAAAACATAATTAACGGATGGGATTTAAGGGATTTTAATCATTTTCCGACGGAAATGGCCTCTGGAAAATGACATTTTTCCTGTAGTGATGGTTTAGTTAATAAATCAAACCAAAAATATATTTTTTATTAATTTAGTTTGTTCTTACCTCGCACATATCAATTTGAACATGTAGCATTATTCCTTTTGAATAATATAAATTAATATTAAAGATCTATACTTTAACATCGTAATGTGGATTTGACCATATTAATTATTTTTTTATATGAGATCATTGAATTAAAAGTCAAAAGAGTTGTCCGATGAAATTAGAAATACTAATGTCGTTATTTTGTGAAATATAATTAGTAAATTAGTTTAGGATTTTCCGTTAAATAGCAGAGGCACTATAAATTAGTTTTATGCGATTCATGTTTCTAATGCTATATAAGGCTTCACAAGAATGGAACAATTGAAGCATCTATGAAGTCAAATATTGTGAATGTTATTTGCTTTCATTTTTTAAACACGTCATTTGGTCAAGCTTTCTATTCACTACCTGTGAAATAAATGCCTTTTGATGATCGCTTGGCTTGGACTATTCTCTCTCTCCCCTACCCTACCTCCCTCTCTTTAGTTTGCCATTATTTGCATTAATGCTTTGGGAGTTTATTTATTTTTTCAATTTTCTTCAAAAATATTTTGTTTGATTTATTTCACTAATGCTTAGATTATAACATTTGCATTTACGCTTGGATAAGCATTTAGAACCAAGATTATGTTAGAATGATATGATTCTTAGCAGTGTTCTATATCAAAGTTTTTCTTTCAACTTTATTATTGATCATGCTTCTATCCTTCAATCTGTGGTGTTAGTTTTTTTTTTTTTTTTTTAATAATTGTTTTTTAACCCTTGTGAGGATCATAGAGATAAGGAGAGAATTTTTCTCCCTCATCTAGCTCTTGCATTAAAGGTAGACATTTTTATGAGATTCAAACCACCCTAATATCTCTTTTGAAAGTAATGACAAATATCATTTGGTCACTTCCAAGAAATAATATGAAAAAATTGTATATCTTAGTTGAGAAATGTTTCCTGCAAACTCTTAGGTCAACATTTGAAGAAGGGCATGTTAGTGGAAAGGACATGCAAATGCATCTAGTTATGAATGAGTGAGAGAAATAAATTTTATATTATGTTCGATCAGTAGAACATAATCTGAAATTTGATGAAAAGAGGCTATGCATCATAAGCATAATGAACCATACATTTCATATTTCATAATAGTTGAAGTATATAACATTTATATGACGAAAATCAAGGTTTAAAAAGGAAAAAATAAAAAATCAAGATGTTTTACCTTAGTGGGGCGAGGCGTAAGCCTCAAAAAGAAAAATAAAATAAAAAACTCATAAAATGAGAAAAGGTGAAATAAACCATTGACATAATGATTTATTTGAAATTAAATGTTATGCTAACACAAAAGCTTGGAACTAAATTCAAATTAAACACTCACTTAAAACTTAAATATGACCCGAGGATTAAGACCCATGGCAGCCTCATTCTCACTTTGACATTCTTTAGAAGAATCCTTATAGTATGTATCAAAATCATCTTCAAAAATCTTGTTTAACTGAAATATTTTTTTCATATCCCCTATGCCAGTTAATATTGTATTATATATAATAAAAAATAAAATAATAAATTAATACAACAACATCAAGTCTTTATCCTACTACGTGAGGTCGACTACATGAATTATTTTCTCCATTGTGTCATGTTAACAGTCAAATTCTTATTTAAATCTAATAAAAAAAAGTCATTTCTAATATTTTCTAACCAAGTCATTTTAGGTCTACCTCTACATTTCTTAATATAAACCAAATCTAATACATATACTCTCCTAACCGACATCGAAAGGTTGTCGTTTTATGTGACCAAACCATTTAAGGCGACTCTCTCTAATCTTATCTTCTATTAGTGCTACTCAAACCTTCACATATATGCTCATGTCATACCCTGTTTCTAAGAGTAAAGCCACTCATCCACTTGAGCATCCTCATCTCTGCAACACTTAACTTAATATTATGCTTCTCTTTTAATGGCCAATATACTGCACCATAAATCATTGCAAGTCTCATCACCATCTTATAGAATTTTCCCTTAAATTTGTGGGAGACGTTTCTATCATACAACAAGCCCAATGCATTCCTATACTTCTACCATCCAACTTGAATTCCACTATTAATGTCCCCATCTATTTCACCATCACTCCCAACAATAGACCCAAAATATCTAAAATGTGTACTCTTATAAATGATATGATTGCTCAAAGTCACAATCTATTACTACTAAAATCACACTCTATTTATTCAGTTTTAGATCTACTCAAATGAAAACCTTTAAACTCTAAGGCTGGCCTTTATAATTCAAGCTTACCTTCAACTCCCTCTCTAGTTTTATCAACAAGAAGAATATCATCAGCAAAAAGCATACACCAGGGTACAACCTCTTGCAAATGTCTAGTGAGAATATCCATGACCAAAGAAAAATATATATATGGTCTTAAGGCTTATCTTTGATGTAATCCAATTGAAATAGGAAAATACTTGGTCAAACCACCTTGTGTTTGAACAAAAGTAATAGCTTATGTATGCATATCTTTAATGACTAAATATAAGCATTATTAACCCCTCTTTTTCTGGAACTCTCCATAGCAATTCTCTTGGAACTTTATCATATGCTTTCTCTAAGTCAATAAATATCATATATTGATCCTCCTTATTTTCTCTAAACTTCTCCATCAAACCTCTCAATAAATGTATAGCTTCCAAAATAACAAAAAAAAAAAAGCTTCCAAAAAAAAAAAAAAAAAAAAAAAATCCATTATATTTAAGATCACCTTTAGATTTTTTTTGAAGCTCCAACCCTACTTTGCTTCTTTGTGAAGTAGAAGCTACTCCTAATTCAATAGATCTTTTAATGTCAGCATTGGTTTCTTAATTCTCCTCATCATTCTAAGTCTATCCTTCAACTTCAACTTCAAGAACTACAATACTTTTGGGTGTTACCCATTCATTATCAGGTTGTAAGTCAACAACAACGGAATGATCCAATTCATCATTAGTATTTCTTTGTTTATGTAATTTGAGGTGCTATCTTTTAATTTTTTTGTTAAATATAACCAATTAATTCTTAGATCCTGGAGCCAACCGTTGAGGTGTTGCACTCTTGCTCGCATGTTGGAGACGAACTTGGCACATGATCAATGAAGAACTCTTGCATAACATCTCTATTCTGAGACCTACCTAATCCAAATAGAAGTGCTCCTTGCATGCGTGCGGGTCGGGATGGTAGGTTAAGTATTGGGTAATATAAATAAAACCCCAAAATTAAATTTAAGTGTTTGGGGCGGTGCATCAAAATGCATCAATGAGTTAAGCTTCATATGAAGAAGGTGTAAGCCTCACCAGAACTAGTGAGGCGTAAGTCTCGAGGTGTTCATCGTGCGCCTTGATTCGAGGTGCACCTCGATGCGCGCACTTTGATTGCCTTTTTGGATCATGGCGAAGATTGTTGGAGTATGTGAACCATACACTATTTTAAGTGGAAATAAAAAACGCATAAAGTTCAAAATACTCTGGGATGGGCAAAAGGTTATGTTGTACTATTTAAGTCCTATGCACCAACATATAAGATAAATTGGACATTAAGGTGCATCATGATGAGAAATTTTTATTTTTGCCGCCCATTTGTAATATTTTCAGATAGTAAATATAAATCTTGAAGAGCATTATTTACATCCAATAAACTAAAACGAAATATGCATATGCATTATGAATCTACTCCTTAATATGCAATAAAAAAGCTAGATGTATGGTGCAAAAATTGATGAAAAACTTTAAACAGACAGAAGTTGAGAAATAGAGAAATTAAAACATATTAGCTAGATTTGAATTTAACTCACCTTATGCCATACTTGGAGGATTTAGGAGATTTAAGTCAGGAATTGTACCCCTTGCTCTGAATTTTTCTGGAATGAAATGAGCAGATCTCCAAATAATAAATGATGTAAATGCTATCATCTTTTGAACTATGAGTGCAGATTTGTTTTTTTTTTCCATAAATACTTTGATCGTTGATGTTTGATTCATTTTTATTAGGGCTTCAGTCCTTGCATAGCAAGGAGAAAGACTTCAAGAGGATTTCGAGTCTCGATTAACCGCATGCAGGCCAAGGTTTCTTCCTTGAGTGGTGAGATTCTAGTATTCCCTTGAGACCATCTTCTTTCAAACTCACTTCATGTCAAAGTTCCATTCAAAGGTGGTTTGGAGTTGCGGCTTTCTTTCGAAGTATGCATTTCTTTTTTCCTTTATTGCTTGATTTAGAATGATCTATGTCATTTTAATTCATGTGAAGATCATGAAATTTTAATGGGTCAATTTTTTTCCCATTTTTAACTCAATGTTAAAAATAAATTACTCTAGATTAAACAACTTCTCCTATGAACATTTTGGTTCAACATCTTTAAGAATAACATAGCAGAAAATATGCGCACATATGATGATGTGTTTGTAAATCAATGAAATCTGAACACATCAGCTATGCTCGATGAAATCGGATTGAGATACCGCTTAAACTAAAAATATGCCTTTATAAACCACTTATTATGTGTAAAATCAAGAGCTTTTATAAGCTATTAATTATCATGTAGACGATCATGAGATGAAGAGAAACAAATGCTTAAAAAATTCTTGGTAATAAGATCAAGGTTATTTATAAATTTTATGTTCCCTATGCTATAGTACTGAGCTAAACAGCTTGGTAGAACAGTTGGTTGGGTGCATAGAAACGACCTAGTCATTTTTTATTATGAATCAAGCAAAAAATAAACTCAAGTTAAGTTCTTTGGTTAATTCTCTTTATATAGTAATGTATACTGATAAGATGTATGTATTTTAAATTAGATTTAGTATTATTTCTTCTCCATTAAAACAATCAATTCTACTAAAACATCTAGTTTTCCCCTAAATCAACAATGATGGCATGTTCTATAGTTATTCTATATAGGAGGGTGTGAACCAAAGTGATCAAAGTTGGGTGAGCTATACTAATGATGAAATCTGTTTTCAACTCTAAGGCTTGGGCTTATGGGTGAGTGCCAATCAATTTATATTTCTGTAGTAATATATTTTTCACTTATTCATTGTGCCCTTGGCAATCTCGATCTTGTGTGAAAATTATCCACATTGGCCATCACTCCCACTCCCCTCAAAATAAATCTCTTTATCACCATCAAATATTCTGCACTAAAAGTCCACTCAACCACATGGATCCGTCATGAAAGTCACTTGCTCTTGAACTTTACATAATGTTGACCCTTTCCCGTGTGGGCTCCGAAAATTCGGCCCCGGCCTCCCCGCCGTGCTATTCTTTTTATTTAAGCGAGGGGGAGTTTTAACAAAATAAGTTCCGGGGTAAATTTTGGAAGGCAGATGAGTTTGTAGATAAGACACTACCAAGAGATTTCGCCCTCATTTTGCGTGGACTTTATGATCTGAGTTCTGGTTTCCTATAGGCGCAAGCCCCTATAGTTAATTACCCCTCTCGATCACGAGAGAGAACTTTCGATTAAGGCTAGTCGTCAATCAGATACGTATAGAATACGTGTTATCTGGTATATAGTAGCAGCACGGGTATTGAAATTGGAAATTGAGAATGTTGGATTTGAGAATTTGGGTTGAAATATTTGGGAAATTTGATATCTAAAATTAGAAATTTCACCATCTTGCACTTAAAGCGGATAACCATGATAGAAGATAGCCAAGACCCATGGGAGCCACAAATTGGATGAACCTTTCTATCCCAACTTAACAATTAACTTTGATTGCACTTGTTGTGAGGGTGAACCAGGGGAACCAAATTTTGGTTTGATATGCTAGTGATCGAACTTACTTTCAATTATTAATTTGAAGTTTGTTGGTGAGAGTTATTCACTTGGTACTTTTACAACAACACAATTTTCATTTATTCAATATACCCTATACTTGCAAATCCCTTCACAATGTAGGCATGAGTAACGGAGTGACCATGATGACTTGTGCACCACATATATTCATTTAGAAACATTCATGACTACATATACAACCATCATTTCTGTTAAAACCTTCATTATTATTCAGAAACGTTGAATTTATTCAATTGTAATTGATGTAAAGTATTTTCATTTGTTTTGTTTCAATTGTACATAGATTCAAACAGCCTGATGACTGTTGCGGAGACTTTTCAGCGAAGAGAACTACTTTTAGCATCATTCATTGGGCTTAGCATCAATGCCCTCCAAAATGCACTGGTCAATACCATGGCAATAGCAGCTGAATTCGCTGATAGTAAGTTCTTCTTAATTTCTTTTGTAGTGCATTGCAATTACCGCAAATTTACACCTTGCTGAAAAAAACAAAAGCCTTCAGGACAACCATTTTCATCCAATAATTCATTCCTGTCTCTTAAGTTTGGTATTTGCTTTAAGTTTTCAGTCTGAACTCCAGTATCACATGGAAACACAATATTTAGGCATTGGCATTTATATAGATCTTAGATTGTCAACCAATTTATCATAAATAACATAGAAAATATTGAATTCCTTAGCAGTGGAAAGGAATAGTTTTGAACTGTGTTAAAAATTGATTGTTGAAACAGTGCCAGCTCTACGTGGAAAGGACTATGGAAAAACAAAAATGCGATATCCAGACTACACAGAGACACAATCTGGTCTTCAATACAAGGTTTCATTTTGCAAAAATCAAAGCCTTCTGCAGCACCAATGTTGCCAAAAGAACCTTTTGATCAGAATTTGGCGCTCCTTTTTAACTTGTCTCTAGTTTTAATATATAGTAAATTGCAGGATTTACGAGATGGCGATGGTCCAAAACCAAAGATGGGAGAGATAGTTGTGGTATGTTCTGACCTTTTTTCTTCTAGTATTATTCTTTGTCTCTAGAAATGAATTGCTTAAGCTTGAAATTCTTGGAAATAAATGGATAGGCTTAGGATAATATTTTAGGAGTTTGTGAATTAGAGTTTAAAGCAAATACAACTTTTAACTAAAATGAATTAGATGGAGGATCTGAAAGCTAACTAGAAATTATTGGGATTCTTGTATTGGATTTGATTGAAATTGAGACGCAGAAAACAAGCCCTACATTTTTAATAGCACACAAATCTATGAAATGTTAAACTAAAGAATATGAAAGATCATGGCTTTGTTTATTTTAGGTTTTCTTGTGTGGGCTCCAAAAATTCGCACCCCTGGCCTCTCCGCAGACCCCGTTCTTTCTTTTTCTTTTTGGGTCGTCGAGGAGAGTTTTAACAAGTTTCGATGCAAATTTTCAGAAGACAGATTGGGTTTGTAGCATAGTTTAAAATTGCACAATGAGAGGCACGCCTCTGCGCAATTCTGGGCAAATGAGCCTCATTGCTTAAGCCTTTTTGGGTATTCATGAGGCTTACGCCTCGTGCACTGTGAGGCGCGCCTCTGAGGCTGAATTGCGCAATTCAGCCTGAGGCACACGCCTCTAATTTCGGGACCCACTCACTTAAGTCTCAATGAAATAATACTTAATTCCTCCCCTCCCCTATCAGCCATACCCGAACCTGAGCAGAAAAAAAGCTGCAGTCCTCCAGTTTGTTCGCACGCCGCTCGGCCTCCCTTCTTGCCGCCTCTCCCGCCGGCGCCGCCTCACTCCGGCCTTCTTGAAGTGTTCGACCGCCCTCTAGGAGTCCACAACCGATTTTAGGTAAATTTTTTAAGTTCAACCAAAGATTTTTCAAGTGAAAGAAAATCTAGTTTTTTTGAATTTTTTTTGTTTATTTTTGGATTTTTGCATTACGAAATATGGTTAGAGGCAAGGATAAGACAAATACGTCATCACGGCGTGACCCTTCTTGGAAATATAGTGTGCAAGTTGATGTAGGGAGCTTGCAGATTTATAACTTGTTTTATTTCGGAATAGGGAGGGATTTTTTTGGTTTGCAAGCAGCAAAATCAACTATTGTCAAATGGCCTCCAGGTATACTTATTCTTGTAAATTCATAACACTTTAATATATTCTGAGTTCTGACTTCTGATTTTCATTTTTTTTTCTTGAATATAGTTGAATTGTGGATCCAATTTGGTGATTCCACCCCGGAGTTACAGAGTTTTGCAGTTAGAGTTTTGGGCCTCGTTCTTCTTCTGGGTGTGAACGAAACTGGAGTACATATAGTCAAGTGCAAACAAAGAGAAGAAATTGGCTTTCAATACTCAGAATGAACTCCCTTGTGTATATTATGCACAACAAGAGATTGAAAGAAAGGAGGTTAAGGAACAAGGGGTTTAAGGATGATGAGGACTCATTAGTGTGTGATAATGTGGCATCTGATAATGAGTGGTTCTTAGATAATGAGACAGATTTGCCATTATCAGACCTGCAATCCACCTTTTACCAATCTTAGGTTGTATGATGATTGTATTTTATAGGGACAGGTCTTTTACTATAAAATGCCAGTGTTGCCATTTCAATCTACATGCAACATTGCTTGTGTTTCGAGTTCTTCATTGTTATATATAGAAGACATTTATACTCTTTATAGTGGATTGACATTATTTGGACTTGATTAAATATCATTATTTATATGCATTGAAAGCATTGTTGCATTCATATATTAGCTTTTCTTAATGCAGGTGGGAGATATACGTGCATTCTATAGTTGATTGCTATTTTCTTGCAATTATAGTATATTTGACATCGCAGGGATTGTTGTGGGAGTCTGTTGCATCTATATCATGTCCACATTCACCCTTCATAGGTGGTTTAGCGTACTTTCATGTTATTATTTGACATTTGAATTTTGATCTTGATTGTGCATTTTAGAGTTTAAGGTTCAATTTCTTATAGTTCTGTTCAAGTCCAAGTTCTATGCATTTCAGTTCAAGTATGGGTCTTCTGCATTGCTGCTCAAGTGAGGTCTTTTTATTGTTCAAGCTTTATGCACTTCAGTGAAAATTTCGGCAGCATCCTAGCATATCCCCTATTTGAGAGAAATGTAGGGGAGCTTGGTCTTCCCACCACACTACTCAAACATGTATAGTAGGTGTCCCTAGACACCATGATCGTATATCTTTTCATCCCACCACGTTATAAGAGCGTGTATGGGGCCTTCAACAATACCCGTATGAGAACATCAGTGGCTTTCCCCACGACGCTACAAGAGTGTGTATACGGCTTACCCACCTACCGTGCTACAAGAGCGCGTATAGGTGATTCTCCGGTCCGCCACAAACACCGAGAATAGGATTTTAAAACATTATACATTGCGTAGCACATAGATGTCAATGGCGCAAAATAGCGTGCGTCATGGCGCACGGCGCGGCGCAGCGCACCTACGGCGTCATGTGTATGGCGCGACACAAATGTTTAAAAATTAAAATGGCGCGCGCTATTTGCGCCACATGCGCGCCATGGCGCACGGCGCAAAATAGCACGCGCCATTTGTTTTAAAATTTTTTTAATGTAATTATAAATATTTATTTATTTATTTATTTTAATTTTTAAGATAACATATTTTCTAATTTTTAAATATATTAAAGGTATTAAGATAAATGTTATATTGCATAATATTATCTTCTTAATGCTATTTGTTTTCATTTAAATATACTTTAGTTGTATGAAGATTGACTACTTATTGGACTTGAAATTATGTTGGATTGTTATTTATTTGTATTATCATTGTTTGCTTATTATTATGATAGTTTGTCTTTCAATTTAATGATATTTCATATTCGTGCTTATTATTTTATAATTCTTTTATAATTTGCGTCATATTCAAAATGGTGTGCGTCGCGCCGTGCGGTATGCGCTATAGCTCAAATAGGACCTTTACGCCATAGTGCGTCATTCGCCGTTAACAAGTATGGCGTAGCAATGTCGGCGGCGCTGATGTCGAGGTCGAGGACTATCCCCACTATGCTACAAGAGCGTGTATAGGGCTTATCTGCCTCGTCGCACCTGTTGCATTAGATTCCCTCTCACTGTGCTACAAGAGCGCGTATAGGAGGTCCGCCAGCGCATCAAGCGCGTTGAGGACGGGATTTGGAACTTTTATACCTTCTCATGAGTCATCAGCTTTTGTATCGGCTCGTGGATCGAGGCAAGGGAGGAGCATGCATTTTTTTAATTAATTATAATTAACATTAATTAATTACAATTAATTAACTAATTATTTTTAATTAATTATTTATAATTAATAAAAAATTAATTAAAGTTTATTAAAATTAATTAAAGTAATAAGTTATAATTAATTATATTTAAGCGTAACTATTAATTTTAAAATAAATTATAGTTAATTAATAATAATAAAATTTATAAATTATAATTAATTAAAAAATAATAATTATAATTAATTAAGATAATTAAAATTAAAATTATATTATATATATATTTTAAAATCCCTCGGTTCAGTAGATTTACGGGATTAGGCCGATGAAACGCGTGGAAGGGGTAAAGTTACCTACACAACAATAGCTCCCATCGCTGCTTACAATCAAAATTTCAGACTTCCGATCGGACAGGAAGGGAACATCTCTGGAAGAGGGAAGTCGAACAACAATGTGGGCGGAAGAAGCACTCGAGAGGGAGAAAGTTGTCTTTACAGCAAACGAGCTCCCTTTCTTTCTTCCGATCAATATGCCGTAACTTCTGATCTTATAGGAAGGGAAATATTGTCGAAGGAGCGAAGTCGAATGACCACGATGGAGCCAAAGAAGCACTCGGAATGGAGAAAGTTATCTTTACTAACAACTTAAATTAGTAGCATGTATAGTTTAAGGATAATATAATCTTTATAACTATCTTTTCCATCACTCTTTTCTTTATAATTGAATTTGTTGTCCTCCATTTCTTCTTCTATTTTCTTAGAATTGCCTTTTATCTTTAAAATTTACTACTCTAGAACTTAATTCTTGCATTTACATTTGATAAACTTGTTTACATGGGCATTATTATTTCTCCAACTCAAGTTAGCATTAGAAAAACTAATTTTTCTTTATCATTTGAAGTATTAATATCCATCTATCAAATCAATGCAAGACTATCTCATCATTACTTGATGCCTTGAGACACACCTTAATAATAATGCTTGCCTGGGATGTGTATGGTGGCTATAGGTGAGTGAGTCTAGGAAAATCAAAACTTACTAAAAGAAGCACCCATAGGCCGTCTTATCACCTAGGCACCTTGTTGAGCTCCTGTATCATCTCCAAACTTGTCCCAGGTGAGCATCATTATAGCAAGAGGTTGGCCACCCATGACTAACACAACACAAAGAGGCGGCCTTTAGTTATTAGTGAAAATTTCAAGGCCTTATATTTTCCTTATACTTGATAGGAATCCTTTGAGGTAGCCGCTTGCAATGCATCTAGTTTATGTATTGACGTGAAGCTACAATTAAGGGTGTAAACAAGTCCATTCGAGGTTAAACCACCATCATCTAATTAATCAAGTTTAAGTTCAAGCTTAACTCAATGAGTTTGATACATCACGAATAACTCATTTATATTATGAAAAAGAGAAAATCATTCTAATTAAAATTATCATTATTATTGAATGATTAAATAATGAAAAAAAGGCTAAAAATTGATAAGAAATAAGTTAAGGTGAAGTGATAGAATTTTCAAATGTTTTTAATAGCTTTATACTAGAACCTTGAATTATAATGTATTCAAGTGTATCTTATGTGAATTTTTTTTTCTTAAAATGAGTTGGCTTATGAACGGACAAATGAGTCGCACCTGCTTGAGGTTGGCTTATTAGTTTATTAAGCTTAGTTAATGAGTTATTTATCTAACTAAGCACGAGCCAATTCACAAGTTACCTTAATTAAGTTACATCCATAATTATGATTGTCAATTTATGAGCAATGGAGGGAAGCAATGCTAGTGGATGTTGGTGGCGACATGTGCACTGTTCATAGGAATGGGTGATGCAAGCGTTGATGCCAATGTTAATAATGAACTCATAAGATTTGATACATATTAAATATAAAAGAAGCTCTGCTTCGAGGGAATTGGTGCCGAACAACAAAAATCATTAAAAAAATAAATCAAGATTTGAAATTGTGGTTAGGTAGAAGAAATTAAAGCCTCATGAGTGTATAGAAGGAGAGAGATAAAGATTCCTTTAGTTGAATGAAAGGTCTCTGAAAGAATCACAATGAAGTTAAGAGCATTATGTTGTAAGAAATTGTTGAGTAGTAGGCTCGGCAAAGGATTAAGCTTAATAGATGGGAGCAATGGTGTGGGAGCAATGGTGTGGTTGGCTCGATGGGATGAAGATCACAGGAAAGGTGAATTATTGATGAGGAGATAGACTAATCTTGACATGAAGAGACAAGAATACATGAGTGAAAGATGAGTATAATTATAGTTAAAATTGGGATTTTAGAATTTCATATAAATATCGAATGAAAATAATTGAATTGAATGGAAATTTCTTGTAATGTTTTTTGCATGTGCCCTCATGTGTCATGTTCATGTCAAAATATGCCTAGGCCTATCAAACTATAATTTTGAGGGGAAAAAATCGAAGATATGATTTTAAGTGTTTTAGATGTGTGTTAGGCTGTGTAGGAGAAGTGTCTATGTTAGATATGGACATGAAAGACATTTGAAGTGTTCATACTTCATTAGGGGTATACTAGGCCCAATTCAATGAACCAATATGATTCAATTGTTAATTTCATTTTACCCAATTTCATCTACTTGACCTTTTTTTATCCATATAGGCCTAATTGGTCAATTTGGCTAGATTTAGTCATAAAAATGCAATGAAGAGGGAAATGGGTTTAAATAGATCCTTTGGGTTGAGCTAATAGGGTTTAAGTATTCAATTGGTTGAGGTGACTTCCCATGTTCTATATTAGGTTGGCCAAATAGGCTCAACCCAATCTAATTTAGCTGGCCATGGCTCAATTGAACCCTGTCAAAGCTAAATGAGCAGACCATTGTATAGGTTGTCTTGATTAGAGCCCATTTCACTTATTCAAGTCCTAATTGGCCCGAAAATGGAGTGATTAGCTTAGTTAATGGCAAACTAGTTAGGTTCAACTAATTGAGCTAGTCTATATTAATCTAACAATTTAATGGAGCTAGTCAAGGCTAGCCAAAGGGTTGATTTTGCTAAAGGCTAAAGACAATTTAATTAATCAAATTGAGTTAATCTTGCATCTTAATTGAGCTGGACTAGGCTAGTCAGAAGGATCTATTAAACATTTAAACTAGATTTATGATTAATTGAGCTATTAAAGGGGGATAATTGCACTCAATTAAGGGCCCTAATGTTAACTCAAGTCAATTGAATCACTCTTGAGCCAAGTGAGGCCAATTTGATCAATTAGGACTGACTAGTGGTTTAATTGAGCTCATGTTCGGTTTATATGCTTTTCCAAGGTTAGTCTAATGAGTTAATTTGGCTCAACCGAAACTAACTTGGGCTCAACCAAGTAAATCTATAATTAATTGGGTTAGTTGCGGTCATGTTGGGTCAAGAGGACCACCAAGATATATTAGGGTCAACTTGGATTGGCAAAGTCAACTATGACCATACTATGCAACTGGGACCCATTTAAGTTGACTAGGGCAACCAGTTCATGCCATTCAGGATAACATTAGCTTACTCAAGATTATGTTAAATTGGCTAGGACTATGTTAAGTCATTAGGGACTATATTAGGTCAATTAGGACCATATTAGGTTACCCAAGTTTATGCTAAGTCATTTTGGGCCACATTTAACTCAACTAGGACCATTTTGGGTAAGCTGAGACTGTACTAGGTTCATTGTTTAAAATTGCGCAATATGAGGCTCGCCTCAATGCAATTACAGTAAAAAAAATCTCAAGGCTTACGCCTCTGGCTTTTTTTATGGAGCTTACGCCTCATCTTGGATGTGGCCCATCATAGATGAGGTACGCCTCGCCTCGTTTGCATGAGGCGCACGCCTCACTCTATTCATGTATTTTTTTTTAATTTAAAACTTACCTAAAATCTATTGAAAGCCCCCCAAAAAAATCATGTCTTCTTGCACCCCCATGCTGCAGCAACTTCCTCTCAATTTCCTCAACCTCCAGCCCACCACCTACACCGTAGACGCCACCATCATAGCCGCCGCAGGCAATCACTAGAAAGCTTCACGACACCACCATCTCCTTTTAAAATTTTGGAGTATTATCTTTATGTTGATGGCAAATATTTATGAAATATGAAGATGACTGAAATAAATAAAGAAGTCGAACTAGAATGAGAGGTATTGGATCCTACAGGATAAGGCAGGAAAGAGATCAATTTGTTATGACAGTGACCCAAATGAAAATCCCCTTAGTAATGATAGTACATATGATTTATGAGTTGTTGTCAATTATTTCAATTTTCTTTAAGAATTAAACGTAGATGAGTAGACAACTGAGAAAGAAAAAAATTAGAGCTAAACTTGATTTTATATGATATTTTTATGCAATTCATATATTTATGTTATTTGTTCTTGTTATGTTTGGATCTCAATTCTATTTCACATAATTTATTACTTAATACTTTACATCTTATACAATTTTTTATTTTATATATATGTAAATTTGTCACTTCATAGTTCAATAGAAAGTTGATATGTCATCCTTTAACATATTATTTGGATATTATATAAAAAATCACTTTTAACTTTTATTACGACTTTACAGAATTTTTAGATTTTGAGGCTTACGCCTCAAAACGCCTTAAGGTTTACGACTCATCTCACGAATGAAAAATACCTCAATACCCAATTATGCAATTTTAAATCTTGATTAGGTTAGTCAATATAGGGGTTGGCTAACTGAAATTGACCAACTGGCCTTCGCCTAATGAGTCAAATTGGCTCACACTATAGGCAACAAGCTTGGAGCCGAGTCTTTATAGGATTTCTCAGAGATAAATAGGAAAGGTGAAGCAAACAACTTCACCAAATATATGATTGTTGATAAAGTTCTTATAATTTTTTTTTAAAATTGCATGAAAAGTGAACTGAACATTCAAGTTAAAATACTATTTGTGTTAGTTAAAATTGTATTTGTCTAGTGAACTCAAGCTCTATTTCTTATGTAGCTGCAGTGATAATAACTTTAATTAAGTTTGAGCTGCATGAACTCTGATGCAGACATCAAATTATGATTGCCTTTAAGGTTGATTGGGATGGTTACACGATTGGATATTATGGACGAATATTTGAAGCTCGCAACAAGACAAAAGGTGGTTCATTTGAGGTAATACACAGTTCTACTGCCTCTGACCTAACCTTGGATCTGGTGTTTTGCTGTCACACTCTTGTTGAAGCATTTAAAAGGATTCTTCTATTTCTATGATATCCAACTCTTCAGATATTTAATATTTAGATAGTTTATGGGTACATTATCATTGATCAAATCTGAAAATACCTCTTAAAAACTGTTGTTTCTGCTCTTCATTGCTTCATCTACAGATCTACTGATACTGAAATTGCAAAATGTGTTAATTTTCAGGGCGAAGATAAGGATTTTTTCAAATTCAAGGTTGGATCGCAGCAGGTGATTACCTGTCCATGAAAAAACTAGGGCATGCATCAGTTTGTTCAGGCATTTCGTTTTTGGTTATTTATTATCTGTGCCGAACTTCTACTAGTTTGTCATCACAGAATATTTCTATTTCATTTCATCTTTGTCGGAGCTTGTTGCTTTGGTGTTTTATCCAATGGAAAGTAAATTCTTATAGTTTATGTGATGGTTTCAACTTCTTAGTCAAGCATATGCTTTCAGAGTGGCATGCGTGCTTAACTTATGTCATTAATTCTACTGTAAACTTCACATTTATTTGATACAGAATTTGTTGGAGTCCAAGTTGGATGATAGATATTGTTAAAATCTTGTTATTCATTATATCCTTTCTTGGTTAAATTTGTCAAAGAGTAGAAAATCCATGGACTAATCCCATCATCCCACCTTATATAACAACAAGATTGCCACAGGGACACTTTTGAAATCTTAGAATTTCGAACCCCCAACTTAGGTTTCGTTTGGGACAGCTTTTTTATTGCTTTCAAAAGCAATTTTTTAGTGCAAAATTTTCTTAAACTAAAAAAAATTTACTAAAAAGCTAATTCAAAAAGCAATAAGAAAGTCATCCCAAACGAAGCCTTAGCTTGCATTCTATTATTAAAATGCATTACCTGCATCTTCTATCATGCATAAGTACAGTTTTCATGATTAGTGAACTAGCACATGGAATTAGGGTTAATAGTTATGTTTAAAACTTAAAAATTGTTTGATTTTTTCTCTAATGTTGGTCAATTTGTGTTTAAAATTGATTTGCACAGACTTGCAGATGGCTTATATATATATATATATATATATATATATATATACTTGTATTCATATTTAATGAACATATATTGGTTTTGCTCTAATCAACTCGAAAGTTGACTTAAATTCAATCATCTTGCATCAAATTTAGACTCAAGCCAAAATCAAATCCTTAGTTTCAAAGCTTGATAGAACTCGATATTATCATCCCCAAATGCACAGGTGGATCCAAACATAATCGTGGTGCAATTGCACCCCTAATTTTTTAAGTTATCGATGCACATTTCTCTTTCGAAAGGGCATATGCCCATCCCCGTCCTTTGCATGTAAAATTTGATTTGAGGTTTCTATTAATTACTTTGGACATTTCTAGAAAAAAATTGCATAAGGATTTCATGATGCATTTTTCTTCAGGAGGTCTTAGAATGTATTTAGTTTTGCATTCAGATTAGTGCTGACATATGAAGGGCATTCAAGCAAATTATGTCAGTATATTCTTCCATAATTTTTTATTCCTGAGTTTTCCTTAGTAGGTTAAATTAATCTGTAAATGAAAATGTACGAATATCAAGTTCTTTACCCTGTTGGATTAATTATCAAGCTTGTTTAATAAATTTGATTGTGGCACAGGTATGAGAGACAAATTGATTCAGTGAATTACATAACTGGATATAAGAAAATCTATCAATTTTAAGATGTATTAATGCAGTTTTATACCATTGTAAAATTAATAATTTTATTAGTTGTTTAAAAACTTAATAGTTAGTTTCATAGGCTTTAGAATAGTTAGTTTCATAGGCTTTAGAATTATTTTGAGTCAGTTTTGATATCTTTTCATCAATGATCTGAAAAATTTTGTATAACATATTTTTAAAAAATAACATCTAAATAAGTTTTGAGATTTGTTTGATATTCTTTATACGAAATTGATTTATATCGAGTTGAATATCAGCTCCGCCACTACCTTCATGAAATCTATTGTGTATCCTCGAGGCAAGGTGAGTAGAAATACTGAATGATCAATGTAGATGCGCTACTGGGATCATGTATTAACGTCATAGCCAATGTTTCTTCCTGCTTTACGGGCTTCTTTTTTAATATCCATTTTAAAATGCCTGTTTCCCTTCCTATATTCAGCTTGAATGAAACCGATGGAATTTGGATGCATTGTTTGTATAAGTTTGAGAATAACTTTATTGCATAATTGAAGGATTTTAACTTTTAATTCTGATCGTACATATTACGAAGTTTTTTTCTTAAAATTTGCATTGCAGAAGGGACTCAGATCCTCTCCAATAAACTGGTAACTTATATCCATTATCCATTCTAGTAATTCATTTTATTTTGGATTAATTATGCTAAGTTTTTTTAAAATCGCTCTAGTTTTCAAGTGATTTTCAGAATCCTAGCCATCCAAAATGAAAGGGATGGCCAGAATTGATAAGCACTTTGTGCAGTTACCATAATAATTGGAGAGGATTCTAATACCTTGAGAAGAAATGTGCTTCTAACTTCGAAAATATTATAACTGGACCAAAGTATTCCATCTCTCCATGGTGAAATTACAGGATCGCTATGACGATCCCTTGATTAGACAGTTGTAAATTTTTTAAATTTAGAACTTATTTAGGAAAAATAGATGTATCAGGAAATCATGATGCAATTTATGTCGGCATGAAAAGAAAAAATGTTCAATGTTATAAGACACTCATAAATAAAGGCAACACCATAGATTAGTTGTCTTAACAAAAATTTAAATGTCTTATAATTTTGAGTATTTGTTTTGACTTCAAACATTTTATCTTATTATGCTGATGTAAATTATATGATAATATATTGATACAATTTATTCACTATTTTATCCATGAATTCATTCCTTTCTAGAAAATTAAATGCTTGTAGCACTTGGAATTAAAATCCTCATTGTGCTTTGTATGACCGTGTGCATCTTCAGGTCATACCAGCATTTGAGGAAGCTATAACTGGCATGTCTCTTGGAGGTATCAGGAGGTGAAGTATTAAAACTCGTACTGCTTCGCAATGCAATCTTAGATAAGCAATTAGTTTTGTTCTACGGATAGAATTATTATCTTGATTCTTGAATAATTCCTCGACATCTGTGATCTGTTTCATTATTTTTGTAATTCTTAGTAAAATTGTTCATAGTTTATGTTGTTGTTTTTCATAAATACATGTTGTGTTAGACCGGTCCTTAGTGGACTGGTCCAGTCGGCCCCTTCTAAGGGGCCGGTTCATGTATACATGAGAAGAGGGGCGGCAAGAGAAAGAGAGGGATTGGGTGGGGTCCACTAGATATTCAAATTCAAAGTTGGAGCCAAAGGAGGGGGAGGCAAGGGCTTTTGGGTTTTTTTGCTTTAATGATTAGTTGTATACCTTAAGTATGAGGGAGCAATTAGGATTAGGGTTATGCTTGATTATTGTGTTCTCTTGGAGTTTCTTCTTGATGTCTTGGACTATAGATTCATCTAGAGATTGGGAGAGAACGATCCTCTCGAATTGAGGATCAATTGTATCTTTGTTTGGTTTCCTTCCGTTGATTTGACTCCTACAATAAAATCTACTGTTTTGATTATTTTCATTGGAATTGTTGAGTTTTTCCCGCTGATTTTATCAATCTTGTTAGAATTTACTTGAAATATTCAAGTATTACCTATCAAGTTGCTGCATGTACTTCACTGCTTGTCAATCATAAACTTTGATAACTAAGTGCGTGCATACTTGAATTCACTAATAATGTGCTGACTAGAGGCAAACTAGAACTATCATTCTTTGGGCATTATATTGGGCCATTTGCTTATGCAAATCATTCTTTTATTATAAGTTGCATGTAATTGTATATTAAGATGTACAGTAATACACCATATGTGGCTACTATGAACTTGCATGCAAGACCACAATAAGATCGCTTATATGTTGTTATTATGTTCTCTTTTTGAATATTAACGGTCTAATTCTCAGCAATGCAGGATAATTGTACCACCTGAATTGGGGTATCCTGACAATGATTTCAATAAACTTGGCCCAAGACCTACAACCTTTTCAGTAAGCTTGACCCTTTTTCTGTTTCTTTGGCTGCCATTGCAAGAAAATAATGCAAATTTATGATTCTGTAGGGTCAGAGAGCTCTGGATTTTGTGCTGAGAAACCAGGGTCTTATAGACAAGACCTTGTTGTTTGATATCGAACTCCTCAAAATCATCTCAAACTGATCTAATGGCAGGCCTGGCTTCTATACTATGGATTAACTGCTTAAATTTTGTGAAGGAATTATGCTAGGCTTGATCCCTCAAAACTTCTCATATTGCTCTTGAATCGCTGGGGCGGCCAAGTAACACTGTAGTGGCAGCAAAGTTAAGATTGGGACTCAGCTTCCTTTTATAAATTCAGATGTTTGTTATGTATCTTCCATGGAAAGTGCTGTGAAAACGCTATGGATACTAAGAGGTAATTTCGGCTTTTACGCTAGCTGAAGATTATTTACCTTTTTAAATTCTTGTGTCATGAGGATTATGTTGTGCAGCCCCAATGGTTATCACCCCACTTGAAACAAATATTAATTTAGGTAGAAAACGATTAGACCGGGCATTAATTGACAACTCTTGAGCTAATTTCCCCTTTTATTATTGTTGAATTAAGCCAATTACCTCTATCTTTACCTCCAGTTCCTTCGCCTTTCCTCAAACGATCTTATCTCCATTTCTCATGCGTAGATTCTTGTTCTCTTTACTACCCTATCTAACACCAATGGAAGCAACTATTTTCATTATTCTTCCCTTCAGGACAAAACTATTAGGACTCCTTAAAACACCCAAGTCATTTCCAAAGCCATTAAGAGAGTCCAATAAAACAACCATCCTCACTTTTATATGGCTTCCTAACATCTTCTCATGGAAAGGAGAGATTATTCTGTGCGGAGACCGGATGACGAGAACCATCTGGATTTGCTTCCCTTTTGCTATCTTTTTACTGCGCTTTTGCAAATGCTCAGCAAAAGGGCAGCAAATATGCAATTATGAATGCACTTTTGTTGAGTATTTGTTGCGTTTTTATAAAATGGCAGAAAAAGCGCAACAAATCTTTAATTAGTAGGATATTTGCTACGCTTTTGTTGTTCTTTCGTAAAAATGCAGTAATACTTAGCAAAAGTGCATTCGTAATTGCATATTTGTTGCCCTTTTGCTAGGTATTTGTAAAAGCACAACAAAAGGGCAGCAAATTCAGACGGTTCTCGCCGTCCGATCTCATAACAGAATAATTTCTCCATGGACAGGAGTCTTTAGGTTGAAGGCTGCATTCTAGACTGTAGGAAGATGGTTCAGGAACCTCAAATAGTTTATCATCTATATTCAATAGACTGAAGTGAGTCATGCACTCTGTTGGATCCGTCTCTCTGAAAGCTAGTTTGTTGGTATTCTAGAATGGAAGCGGTTATAATAATTTTCAGTGTAGTTAGGGTTGCAGAATATGGATTAAGTGGAACCTTGCGAATTACCTTTAGTCCTATCATATGCACTTCTTGGCTTATCCATGGTGAGATTATCTTTATAGGATTAGTTAAGTTTTTTGGTCTCCTTAATGCAACCAATAGTGCTAATGGGAGAAAGTCTATGATCTTCTTCTGTGACATGATGCTCTCTATTAATTTTAGCTATTTGATTTTGAGAGGTTTTAATTGTGCTCGAGTTGGGGCAGGCTCAAACTTAGTTTGTTAGCTCATTGATCTCGATTTACGAGCCATTTATCCAGTCCAGCTTGAGCAGTTTCACGAGTAAGCTTGACTCAATTATGCCCCCTATATGGACATTCGATATTTGTGTTAGAGGGAAAACTCGAGGCATTCAAAAAGGTGTTGTAGTGCTTTAATTGGAGCAAGTCTTTTCGGCTTAATTAGTCCATTGACTCCTCAAAAGTGAGCAAGAAAAAGTTATTCATCTTCTTGAGAATGATCACTATAATCCTCTTTTGATTTATGAGGCTAAAACCATTCATCAAGTATGTGCAAGTGTCTTATATTAAGAGCTTGTGGGTGAAACAAAGAGCTGAAATTGTCTGGCTCTCAAAGGGGAACGATGACTTAAAAAGGTTGTTATAATTCTATTGAGGAAATGAAGAATGTGTCCTGTATTAAAGAGCTTACATCTCCTAATGGAGTGCCAGTTCTGGTGATGAGATTGCTTGGGAAATTACTAGTTTTTTTGTGATCTTTATAAAAATTAATATAGCGAATTTTGGTCATGATTTTTAGCGGCATTGATAGGTCAAACGGTCAGGTTCGGATTCGGCTTGAAATTGACTTGATCCAAATTCAAACCATCTAAACCTGACCTGCTAGCAAATCTGAATAACTTGAGCCTAACTTGATAACTCATTTTAATTAAAAATATTGTAATTTTTTAGTAATAGATTTTAAATTAGTTAATAAAAAAATAAAATAATCATACCAACAAATAAAAAAATAAAATTTGTATAATTTAAATTAGTCATTTCAAGTCAAAATTGAGTTGCTTGGTCTACTTGACACGCTTGTTTAATAAAGGATTGGAATTTTAGACTCAAACTTGACCCATTTATTGGACCGGTCAACCTGAAGTGAATTTTTTCAGGTTAGGTTTAGATTGGGTTGATGCGTCGGGTCATTTTTTTTATATCCTACCTTAAGCTTAATACTATGTGATTTTCTTACTTCTATTGTTGGTTTTACATAATATAGTGCTTTCTTCTTTGGGCAATGATAGTGCATGTTCAGCCCAACAACACATTTGATTTCTTTGAACATATAATGTTTATCGAACACTGTTTGATTGTTTGTGCATGTTGTTGTGGAGGAAGCATGAGTGCTTTTTTTTTTTTTGGGATATTTGAGCCAATTAAGGAAAACTCGCATGCACATCATTTATACATGCTTCGAATTCAAGACCCCTTGGTTGTTTGTCAAAGCTCCCAACCAGATGCGTTTAAAAGACATCAAGATGAGATGTGTGAATTAGTACCTTTTGTTCAATTTATCAAGTTTTTTAATTTACTTCCTTATAATATATACGAATAGAACGATGTGTTGGACGATATTTATTGTTTTGAACTAATTGTCAAGGGCGATCCAAGAATCGTCATGTACGATAAGTTATTTTTACATCGTCCAACATGTAAAGTCTGGTTGAACAGATCAATGTTCTGGACGATATTCGATGTTTTGAACTAATCGTGCATGATAATGTACGCATCGTCATGGACTATCATAATAAAAAAAATCTTATAATCGTTCAACCCCCCCCCCCCCGGCGATCGTCCTTGCCGAATGAGTTGAAAATGTATTGATCGTCCTGGACGATCTTTGACGGCTAGTTGAAAATTTGGGAAAATTTTAAGCCCTTTTATATAAGATTTCTTTTTTATTTAAGAAGAGATCTTGTGCTGCTGTCCTGACCTGAGAGAGCCAAGAGAAGGAGAGGGAGAGGATCTTGTGAGGGTTCACAAAGGTTGCTCCAAGCAAGGATTCGAGTCGTCTTCTCCAGTCATCATCCCTAGTTCCTTAGAGGCTCTAGGGAGGTCTTCTTCAGCGACTGATCAATGTTCTCTGTCTGCTTCAGGAGGAAGCGAAAGGAGTCGGGTTCTCTGCCTGCTTCGGGAGGAAGCGAAAGGAGTCGGTTTCTCTACCTCACCGGGGTCGGTGGAAAGGAGTTTTGTACAGGCTTCCTTGTTGTGGGAGCAAAAGGAGAGTCACTAAGTTTAGTGCAATACCCAAAGGAGAGGCTCCGGGGAGTGGACGTAGGTCAAGTTGACCGAACTAATATAAAATTTGGTATGCTCTTTCTTATTACGTTTCCGCATTTTTAATTTTCATACTTTATTTTTATGTGGGTGATCGTATGCTTTGATGTTTTAAAATATTTCAAAAGATTGTATCCCACTACGTGGCTTAGCTAAATGAATTCTTTTTTTCTTCTTTGTGTCTTATAATGAGTCAAATGCTCATTTAAATCTAATAAAGAAAGGTCATTTCTAATATTATCTACCCAGGTCTTTTTAGGTCCATCTCTACCTTTCTTAACATAGGCCAAACCTAATACATCTACTGTCCAAACCGAGTAGTCAAAAGGCCGTCGTTTTATGTGAGAAAACCATCTAAGGAGACTCTCAAATCTTATCTGCCACTGGAGCTACTCCAACCTTTTCATGTATTTGCTCATTTTTAATCTTGTCTATAAGAGTAAAGCCACTCATCCAACTAAGCATCCTCATCTCTGCAAAACTTAATATTTCTTGAATCCTCTACTCTATCGTCAACTGGTGGGATCACTCTAGTACCTCACACTCACAAGACAATATATTACTTATGCCGTCAATAAAACATGTCAACACATGCATCAACTGACTGACCACAACTTAAACGCATACTTCTCTACCTCCAAGGTTATCTCAACATCGGTCTACCACTTCACTGAGACTCTCTTCAACTTACTTCATATATAGATTATGACTGGGCTGGCGATCAAGCATATCACAAATCAATAATAGGATATTGCACCTTCTTAGGATCTACACTCACATTCTGGTGCATAAAGAAACAAACAACTATTTCTAGATCATTGACAGAGGAAGAATATCACGCTCTCGCATCTGCAGTCGCCGAAATCATTTGGACTCGTCAACTCCTTCAGAAAATAGGTTGTTATCAACAAAATCCCACCACACTCTTCTGTGATAACACATCTGCCATTGCATTAGCAAACAATCCTGTCTTTCACGCTTGCACCAAGCACATCGAAGTGGACTATCATTTCATTCGAGAATGCATCAAAAACAAATTTATACAAGTCCATCACATATCGAGCAAAGATCAAATAGCAGATATATTCACCAAGGCTCTACCCACTCATCACTTTTGTCATCTCTCCAACAAACTGACATCATCTATCGACTCATAAGTTTGCAAGGGGGTGTTAACCCATACTATTAGCTCAACAAGTAATATACCATACCTTAGAAATAACTTACATAACCCTTAGTGGGTCTATATATACTTGTATTGTACTAACTAATAGATAACATAATAAAGAGTCTTTTCCATTCTCTGCCATCTATCTTTTCTTCAGCTTTCTTCCTCCCGTTGTGATGTTCATCAGATAAGACTTGTTGCATGCTATAACATTCACAACAATAGTCAAATAGGGAGCTTAACATCCTAACTTCGTACAAATATCCATAACACACACAAATAAAAGAGAGATGTACTAAAGTCATAGAAGACAAAAAATTTTATGTAGAAAACTCTAAAAAAGGGGGAAACAAAGTCCTAGTCCAACTAAAATGATTCTACTAGTATTGGTTGTTAGTTACAAATAATACCTTAGATCTGTGAGAAAGGACATTGGCTCAATGTGGAAAATATACATCATATAGAGCACATTACATAGTTGGAGTTGGAAGAATCCAATAACATGAGAGTTGTCTCAAGAGAACCTTGGTTTGTTCATTTGGTCTGTAGGACCG